GGGGGGGGGGGGGGGGGGACGGCTCACTTCCTTATAATGCCTATTCGAATGTGTGTCACTGGTCTCGTGGTCAGGTCCATGTCGAGGTTTTAGAGGTCCTCTCTACAACATGTTTTTCTTATCGAGTCGACCGTGTACTTAGTGTGCGTAATCATATCGTGAGTTTCCAATCATTAACAGGGAAGTCTGGGACAAAGATAAATATTGTCTAAATTATAGAACAGGCTATAACTGTTAATGTAAAACTCTCCCAAAACCGGTCCTCAATAAGAGAATAGATTTAGAGACGTGAGCACCCATACACCCAAAACTCCTACCTTAGTACCCTCCTTTAAGCTATGATTATTACATGTGGAAAAACATCTGCCAGTCTTAAACTGACTTTCATTTAATCTTAAATTCATTTACAGTATTTACTGTGGGCAGCTAAAAACATAAACGAATACAGAAAATGTAAATAAATAACGGTAAAATTAATTAAGTTTGCATTATCACAATATACACTATTCTAGAGACCACATTAGGTTTAAACAGAAAAAGCCGTTTTTCCTTAATACTTTTTCGCTAAAACTGTAAAAGTTTCGATACATATGTAAAATTCACACCAAAAGTAAGGAAAACACAATATATTATAGTAATCAAATATATCAGAAAGGAAGTTTACTGCGCTTTTCACCAACATGCGAACTGTAAAGTTCAAAAGCCGCCTTCACAATTGTGTTTTTCGCTGCCGTCAATCATAATTACGATCACAAGCAACGAACCTTGAAACACAGAAACTCACAAAACGGATCGAAATCCACCAATCAGAAATCACAATCCATAACTCTTTGAACCCGTTAAAGTAAAGTTGATTGACAGCAGCAAAAAAGGCAATCGTCAGTTGGCTTTGAACTTCAGAATTCGCAGGTTTGTGAAAAGCGCAGTAAAGCTTCAATTCCCCAGACGCCCTCAACCTTTTGCAATTTAGATTACATTCTAGAAAATGGTAAAATAAGATTCTTTTCTTTTTTTTAAGTCGAATGTATACAAAACAGGGTTCCGGTCCATGAGCCACCCCTGTGGACCTAGTCCATGGACCCCTTCGTAGGCCCGGTCCTTGGACGCCCCCCTGTGGACCAGCGCTAATTTCTGAAGTTGAATTTGACCAGAGGTCTGAACACTTGAAATTTTTGGAACCTTAAATGGACGAAACTGTGGTCAACGTTTATTTATTTTTATTTATTTATTTTTTTCAATTCCATAGCAATGAACTGGGTTCGTTTTTAATAGTTTGGTGAAGGAGGAACAATATTTTAGGAAGTAGTCTCCTATGAGGCTCTTTTTTCTTGTCTTCACGTTGCGTGAAAATAGAAAACGACAAAAACGGCTGGTGTGAGACTAAGGAAGAAACTTAATAAAGTCTGTGTGTTTGTAATGACAGCAATCTCGACTTGAATGAATGGCAATTTACACGAACCAACACGTAAATGTCCGCAAACATGTCAGGCGTTTGACCAACCGCCTTGTTTGATGATGTGCAGGTCATTTTGTACTTGATTCGTGAGCAGGATTCAATAACTTGCCGACCAAGAAATACTTCCAAGGGTCATCAAGGGCGGTGTACTCAATCATTACGCATTTCCTTTTCCTCCCTTGGCTGCCACGTAGCCATTTTTGTGTCGATCCTCACCCAATAGACCCCGGGCAATAGACCTTGTCACGGTTTTGTAAGCCATTTTGACGAGAAGGCACGTGAGAAATTACAGTGTTTGTATGAGAATTTAGTGTCGAATAATTTCTGTAAAACGGCTTAATGAACAAATATGAATTTTAAACTAAAGCTACCCAGAAAAGGATTCTACTAATAAGTTCTGGGGGCCTTAACTGTGCTCAAAATTTCTCCAGACGCCTGCTTTAGATTTTCCATATATTTGTGTGCAATTAGATTCTCATACAAACACTGTAATTTCTCACGCGGTTGTCTACTCGTCGATATGGCGTCCAAAACCGTGATAAAGTCTATTCGGCCACACAAGAAAAGAGCTGCATAGGAGACTACTTCTTCCCTACCTTTCCTCCTTTATCCCCTTCGAATATTGTTTTTCCTTCCAGACTAAACCAATCCCATGAATGGAATTCAGGAAAATTTGAGCAAGTGTATAATATGAGACGCCTTTTAATAATCCTGATAATATACTAAAAGTTGACACAGTTTCATCCATTCAAGGTTCCTAAAATTCGTTTGGACCTCTGGTAAAAATTCACCTTCAAAAATTAAGGGCGGTCCACGGGGGTAGTCCATGGACCGGGTCCACGAAGAGGTCCATGGACTAGGTCCACAGAGGTGGTTCATGTTTTGTATACGTCCATCGTTTACTAGTGCCGAGTGATTTACGAATTGAAACATGTAAAGTAGAGAAGCAGTCAAACATGTTCTTCCAACACGATATTGCAAGATCATATTTGACGGTTTAGCAGTTTTTTTATGCTCGTTTGCATTAACCATGTCGAAATATCAATAACGCTGAAAAACAACACAACACACAGACGCGGCTCTCTTTGGTGTAAAATTCTGCGAAACCTTCCACCAACCCCTGCCCTTCGACTTTAACTTCTCTATTTCTTTTTCAAGGAGCAAATAGATGTTTTTTGGAAGAAGTAAGTGGTCAGTTTCCCAGAATCTTATTCTGATCCTTTCACTGATCCAGTTCTTTATCATTTGTCAGTTTTCCCTGAGCTGCATTCCGTATTCCCCATATTTCCTATTCCTTGTTCCTGTATTTCCCACTAAAGGTGAAGTCCTGGGACCAAGGGGCGGGACACCGAAGCGACGTGTTCCAATATGGCGGACGGCGATGAACTTTTGATCATCAAAGGCAACAGAATAGTTCTTCCTGATTGTATTTCTTCTGGATCGATCAGCGTGAAGAATGGAAAAATCGTTGGTATAGAAAAAGGACTTCACACAAATGATAGGACCTTAGAAGCCAAGGTGAAATTTTTTATCGAAGCTGTTAAAGAATAAGCGACTCTTTATTTATTTTAAACGTTGCAACCACTGAGTTTGCTGGGGACACTGTTTTTTATGTTTCCTAGTAATGAAGGGACTGTCACTTCTTTGTGTAAATAGTCATCCGAGACACAAAGATCAAGCCGTTTGTAGGGGCGGATCCAGGATTTCTTTTAGGAGGGAGTGCACTCGTCTCTTGCTCTACTTCAACACCAATAAACCACATAGTTTTTTTTTACAGAATACCAGTTGTATTAGAAAACCGCAGGTCATCTTAGGGAGGGGGTGGTGGGGGGGTGCGCACCCCCTGCACCCTCCCCCTAGATCCACCCCTGGTTTGCAGAGCAGAGGTTGGTCACTTCTTTCTCTGTTGGTTTAATTAAATTTAAAAGATGCTGAGAGTTGAGAGTTTGTCCAAGTTTAAGGTAAACTTGCAACTCTGGAGGAGAAGGGGAGAGCCTGGCCTTTTCAGTGCATAAGAGGAAGAACGGCCAGTTTGTCTAATACTGCAAAAAAAAAGAAAAAAATTATTTAACAATGCGGTGATTTTCACTTGGACAATGTAATTGTTTCACAAATTATAAAGAAGTACAACTCTCAGAAGCCAGGCTTGAAAATGAGTATGCCTTTAGAAGTCAGGTCCGAAAATGGGTGTGTATAAGTATGTCTTGGATTTAGAGAACTGGCAACAGTTGTTCAAAAGATGGATAGCGCTATCCATCGGGGCCCAGCTGTTCAAAAGGTGGATAGTGCTATACACCAGATAAATCTCTATCCAGTGGATAATGCAATTGATTTCCCTAATACTTATCCACTGGATAGCAATTTATGCGGTGGATAGTGCTAGGGGCCAGATAAATTGTCCATTTGATAAGTATTAGGGAAACCAATATTGTGCTACCAGTGGCTGGTGATTTGTTAAGTGGATAGCCCTATCTACCTTGCGAACAACTGGGCTTCATAGTCAGGGAACATTCTTAGGAGTACCCCTGGTAGGCTAAGCCCCCTGGGTCTTACAAAAGGCCTAATTGGCCCATTTAAGGGAATCCAGATTTTGGAATCTGGGAAATTTTTGCTTGTGAAATCTGGAATCTTGGGCTTTGGAATCCAGAATACAGCTCAAGAAATCAAGAATTCCACTTAAAAGTGGAATCCAGAATCCCAATTCCACTTACAAAGACTGGAACCCAGTACCTGAAATCTAGAATCCATGGCGAGGAATCCAGAATCCAACACTGCCTTGAATTCCCTTTTATGGGGTGAAACTGTAGTTCTTCCAGTATAATTGGGGTTGCTGTACTTGCTATTGAAATGGAGTCACCATGCAATTTTCCTTGTGAATATCTCTCAGGTGCTAGATGCAGGAGATCTTGTTATCATGCCAGGTGTTGTTGACAGTCATGTGCATGTCAACGAGCCTGGTAGAACAGACTGGGAAGGCTTTGCAACTGCTACCCAAGCAGCAGCTGCTGGAGGAATCACTACTATTGTAGATATGCCTCTGTGAGTCTTAATAATCATTTATAAGTTTTTTATTTACTCTCAGCGGTATTTATAGAACAAATACAAGTAGGACTGACCAAATGCCTGAAACAAATCAAAACTTAACAGGGTTAAGAATCCCAACTGGCCGGAGGCAAACCAGTTGTAGTGTGGCTGAGGAGCCAAACTCAGGACTACTGTGAACTTAAATGTAGCAAGCGGTCTAAGCCTGACTTAAAGTTGTCACCTCCAAATTACTTGATTATGCTTTTAACCCTTTCATTACTTGAGTGAATGATGAAATGTCTTGCAACTGGCTAACAACTTAATTGAGTTAGTGGATGAATTCCTGCATTGTGAACTTTCAAAATTTTAAACCCCTTTGAGGAGTAAAATAACTTTGAGACTTTGTGAGACAGCAAGACCCTGGTTTCAAAATTCAAGACCAAGACTTGAGTGTTTTTCATCAATTATTCTGAGCCCGAGAATTACTTCTAAAAATTCTGAGCCTGCAGACTCTAAGGCCAAAAATTTCGATGTAATGGTACAAATAAAAGTAAGAAAAATGACTGGAATGCCAATGGAAGCTAGTAAAACAAACAAAAAAAAATAGTGAAACTTGTTGATATTTGGCATGGCCTAGTACCTTGGAGTGAAGTAACAGGTCACCAAGGAACAAAGCAACATGAACCTGTAACTGTAGGATTGCAATTGCATTTTGATAAAAGGGAGTTAATCCAATCACGCCTTGGCAAGTACAAAATGCAGGTCACAAGTCACAGATCACAAGTGCAGGTTAGAGTACAGGTCACCCTGCTGCAGTAAATAACACTAAAAGAACAAAGAACACTAAATTGTGTTTCTGAGCCCTAATCACAATCCAACACTGAGTATTAGCTTAAGGGGAAACTACTTATCTTGGTTATCTATGGATACAACAGTGACCTGCGCTCATGACCTGTGACCTGTGTTTTGTACCTGCCATTCACTCCTGGACTGAAAAAGGTGCCAAATGATTTGTCACTCTATCTTAAATCTGTGGATGAATTCCAATGGAATTACCATCTTCTTGTGAAAACTGTACCACAGAACTTTTGCTTTAAACTATTAAATTTTGTAACAGTTAACCTGAAAGAATGCTGTCTTATTGTTTTGAAGGAATTCCATCCCACCTACCACCACACTGGATGGATTTTACACTAAACTAAAAAGTGCGAGGAATAAGTGTTGGACAGATGTTGCTTTCTGGGGTGGAGTAGTACCTGGAAATCAGGTGTGTATCTGTTTTTTGGACCTAGTTACACTTCCCTTTTTATGCCCCAAGTACAAAGCATTTAGGCCATTACTGCACTTTTAAGAAACACGCGAACTCTGAAGTTCAAAAGCTGCCTTCACAAATGCGTTTCACTGCTGTCAATCACAAGCAAACAACCTTGAAACAGCAAAACACACACAATGGATCAAAATCCGCCAATCACAAATCACAAACCATGGCCTTTTAAAACCCGTTAAATTAAACTTCTGTTTCCTAAGAGGTCCACTGAGATGTTTGACGGCAACGAAAAATGCAAACGTCAGTTAGCTTTTGAACTTCAGAAAATTGGCGTGTTTTTGATAAAGTGCTGTAAACTCATCGCGAAGATGAGCTTGGGAGTGGTGCCTTAAAGGTGAAAGGGCCTATAGCGCAAAAGGGGAGCATTGCCTTGGATTTAGCCATGGCAACCTAGCAAGCGTCAACCACCGGGCACCGTCACACTGAAAGAATTCAGTGAAATACTTACCACAACCCATACTTACCTATCCGGGGGTGGTAGGAGTGGGAGCAAAACTAGCAGATACATTGTATCGCAGGCCGGGAATAGCAGTGATCCGCAAAGATCAGCAAAGCAAAGCAAAGCAAAGCAGAGCTGCGGCTAAACTGCTGTGACCTGCTAGCATTGTCTTGAGGTTAATCTTGCCTAAATTACAATTAAGCCACATTAAGGGCCTGTTTACATGGAGTGGGGGACCCCGGTCTAGTGGGGTTGGTTTCTTTTATTTCTACGCTCTGTGGGACACAAAACAAAAGAAACCTACCCCACTCCATGTAAACAGGGTCTAAATCAAGGGAGGGGTGATAAGGATCTGTAATTTACAGCATGGAGTTCATTGAGAAAATGAGGCTGATATGATTTTTATTACATGGCTTTCTTTAAATGGAACAAAAAATAGGCATATTAAAAGAATTTGACAGGTCTTTAAAACGTATATTTTATTGGGGCAAACAAAAAGGGCAGTTGACTACATTTTCTTGGAGTTTTTTTGTGGAACTAGATTGTACTAGTACGTGTGCAGAATTTAGGAATAAGAAAAGATCTTACTTGTCAGAACAGTAAGTCAAGGACCAAAAATTAACCAATGACAGAATCAGAAATGCCTTTTATAGCTATGTAATGAATAAAAAAAGTTATGTGTACTTTTGGTAAATAAACTGTTTTTATTGGTTTTCTTTCCTCCTTTAGGCTGAAATCAAACCCATGGTGAATGCCGGAATCAAGGGTTTCAAATGCTTCCTGATACACAGTGGAGTTGATGAATTCCCTTGTGTTGCAGAGAATGATGTCAGACTGGCTATGAAACAAATGCAGGGAACAGATGCTGTGTTTCTGGTATGTAGTCTAGCTAGTAACAAAGCGGGCTTTTGTCAAGGGGCTTGGGAGATGACTACCATTTGACGGGAGCCAGGAAACAAGCTGCAAAAAATGGAATGAAAGCTGTTATGTTGCCATAGTGATAATTTTAGGCCATGTATAAGATTAAAACTCTTCAATGTGGGTTCTGATAGTCTCGTGGTCAACCTACCAATCATTGGGTTGTAGGTTCAGTTTTTAGCCTAACTATTGGGTTATTTTGAGAGTCTGTGCCAGAGGTAAGAGATTTGCTTCACTGTGTCTCTCTGCACATAGAGGTGTGTAAATGGGTACCCCTCCCCCAGGGGGCAGGTGTATAAATGGGTACCCCTCTCCCAGGGGCAGTTTTTTTAATATCTGTCCCTCCCCTGGGGGAGCTGTGATACTTCTTGGTGCTTCTTACTGCAGAGAACAAAATAATCCAGGAGTGTAGCTACCTGTACCCACGTACAGTGTACGCATGTGCTTATCTGAAAAAATGTTAAGGGAAAATAAAAACAAAACAACATTTAGGTCATGGTAGGAGGAAGCACAGTGAAGAACGTTGATTGGCAAACTAAATGCTGGTGCTAGTATTGCCACAAGATGGGAAATTAGGGGACCAAGTCAGAGAGAAAGAGCAAATGCATAGAGCGGCATTTTGCGCGGAGCCTTCGACGTATTTCCCTTTCAACAAGTATCGTACCTTTACCTTTACCTCTAACAAAACATGTATCACAATCCCCTTAAAAAATAAACTAACTTGTCTTAATTTACTATTCCGACTTAGTTTCATGCTGAAGTTGAGCTGCCAGCAGAGGCAGAGAGCACTAGCAAAGGTAGGCAAAGCCTGGACATTTATTTTTGGAAGGTCGTTATTTATATTTCTGATTATTGTAATTTTATGTACTGTAATAATAGACGTAGGTTTAGTGATTGATTTTGACTCATGTCATGTTCTGTGTACTCAACAGACCCTGCTAAATACAATACATTCCTACAGTCACGACCTGAAGCCATGGAAAACCAAGCGATTGAACTGGTGATTAAGCTATGTACAGAATATAGGTCAGTTTTATATTTACTGCAGGTACTTTTTTTAAAAGTAAAATCCAACTAGTAGTCTATTATCAATTCTGCGTTTTGATTGGTTGAGCTACTACCAGGCTATATATTATAGCCCACCAGTAGCGAAAAGTACAGGCTTTTTGGCGGCAAAAAAGGATTAAAGTCTAGCTTTAACTAGCTAAAAGTTTTTTTATTCTCGATATTTTTGACCAACTAGTTGGATTTTACTAAAACAATTATTCCTCTCACCCTCATGGCCTCTGAGTCAATAGCCCATTCGGCCTTCGGCCTCAAAGGCTATTGTCTCAGAGCCCATTCTGACTCGAGGAGTAATTGTTAAATACGTGATAAATAGAACAGATATACCAGTCCTGGCGTGAATTCAAACCATTATGGCATAAGAAAGCTGCTCTATCGCGTACTTTGTGCGCTTTTAAAACGAATCAAAACTTTGGCTTTATCAACCTTTTTGAAAACGTAATTTGTTCTACATGAAAGACCGTTTTCATTTATAGCCTTTCGTCATTGTGGGATATTTGCACGCTTTATATTGAATGATGGAGCTCTGCTGTTGGTGGGAACATGGTAATATGAAAGACAATACTGTAATAGAATAGTTGAAAGAAAATCCCTCATTCATTCCAGCAGTATATAGATTGCCGAACTGAAAGATAAATTTATTCTTGTTTTACCGCGCTACTTGCTACTAAACGTAAGATATCGAAAAGAGCGTGCATAAGAATCTCTTAACCTTTATGTGTTTGCTGCACATTGATAATGTCAAAAGCTTATTTATGAACTAACATCGTGGTGCCACAGGCCCGCCAAATTCGCATACGGCCCGCTTGTTTTTTAAGTGGTCAAATTTCTCTCAGCTGAATTTTTTGAAACTGGCAACTCAATATTACATTGGGAGTTAAAACCATGGCGTTTACGCTGGTCAACAGGAGGTGGGCCTGATGGATTCTTGAGCTGTGGTTTCGCCCAAATTCACCGGCAAATTTTCTCTCATAGAAAAGACACTACGCTATACAAATTTGACGGGCAATCACGTGTACAGATCGCATTTGATCATCAGATCTCGCCGTCGGCTTCGTCAACAAGAGATCTGGGTTAGAGATTACTTAATCTCCCTAATGAGAACGCAAAAGCGCGCGGGAATGACTGAACTGGACTTCTGGTGCCCAATTTCCCGCTCTGCCGTTCTCTGTTCTCTGTCATTAGTGAAGCTTGCTGTTAGATCTGCGTGCGTCGTCGTGAAAGCCGTCGTGCTTTTACTTCTAAATCTGCGTCTTACTTTCTTTTAGGGTTCCTTGTCATATCGTGCACCTTTCTTCAGCCAGCGCCTTGCCCATGATCAGGAAGGCCAGAAAGGAAGGAGTCCCTCTCACCATAGAAACGACGCACCACTATCTGTCGCTCTTAGCTGAGGATGTCCCTGATGGTGCCACTCAGTTCAAATGCTGCCCGCCAGTCAGAGATGCTGCAAACCAAGTATGTTGAATTGTTTAGCCCCAGGATCCACATAGAAATTCTCCAGACTGATCTCCATACATTTCTTTTAAGAACAGTTGAGAGAATTTGGTTTAAGATCAAAGCATTCTTCCTCTGGTAATCAATTTAGTAATTCTCATGACCTTTACTCTTGATGATCTGATGTTGTTGTTGGTGTCACGTGCCACGCCCATTCAACGACGGCATCGAAAATAATGTCGTCTCAAAACCAAAAGAGTCCCATGGATTGCGACAAGACGCCGAAAGGGCTTTTTCAGTCCTCAGGCAATAGACTCTTCCACGGTTTTTTCAACTTTCGATAAAAATCAGTCAGCGAATATCCCGGTCTTAACACTGTTGAAAAGAGCACCTTAAATTGAAGAAACTTACCAACTTTAAAGCTGATACCTATAAGGGAGCATACCCTACGAGCAGAAGTTTCTCTTAGTCTTGCATGGCTTTTAGCGTTTACCAATAGTTAAACCAACTACGTGGCAGACAAGCTTCATAAACGCTTAAAGTCATGCAAGAGAGAATCCTATGCTCGTAGGGTAAAGCGAGCAAAGATATTGCTTCACAAAGTCGCGAAATTTTTACGGAGGTTTATATGGTGGGGGGCACGAACTTGCCCCCCACCATATAAACGTCTGTAAATTTCAGCGATTTTGCGCGGCTGTATCTTTGTTAGTTTTCAACAAATCACTTTCAAATTTGCCATCTTTACTAATTTTAGGCGTTCTTTTTAGCCGTGTTGATGGATTTTCGATAACTGATCCCAGTCAAAAGTTGTAAAAAACTTGGATCTATTGAATTAGCAACAGCATTATTTTTTTTGTTTATTCGTATTCTAATCATATTTTTAATTTTTCCTTCCCGCCACAGGAGGCTTTGTGGGAAGCACTAAAGTCACGTGACATTGATCTTGTAATCTCGGACCATTCCCCTTGCACTGTGGATTTAAAGCTGTTGGACCGAGGAGATTTTATGGCAGCCTGGGGAGGAATCGCTGGAGTACAATATGGTAGGTAAAGAAGAGCAGGAGTTCTTTTTCTTGTTACAATTTTAATATGAGTGGCTACAAGCTACTCTACAAGCTACTGAGCAAAGAAAGGCAATGGGCATGTTTAGTATATCATAGGTGAGAAAGACAGCCGACTCGGAAGAAATAATCTGAGTGCTCCCAATAGAGAGTCGACCATCAAGTTACAGGAGACTCGTGTGAGCTAAGGCCACTGAACTACAATTCTCGTCACTTTAAGTTGGGACACCCCGTGTTGTACCCATATTTCGACAAAAAGTTGTGCTCCTTCCCTCCCAGTGTTGATTTTGTTGCTTCTGACATGCCAACTCGCAAAAACCAACATTGAGAGGGCAGAAAATACCACAACTGTCCCAACTAATGTGACGAGAACTGCAGGTTCATGTGACAAATATCCTGCATATTGCTAGGACTAGAATGTCGATATGTGTTTATGCGCAATGATAGAATAGAAATGTGAATGTGAGTTTTAAGCCTGGTTAATACAGGCGGGCGGCTCGGAAGAAACATACTAAGCGTGGGAATGGGATAAAGAAAAAGGGAACTAAACGATGCTGCCCTCTTTTGGTTCTGCTCATCATTCCACGTGCGTTGTTTTCTCCAGGTTTATCAATATTCTGGAGTCAGGCCAGCACGCGAGGTTTCTCTCTACATGATGTGGTTCGTGTGATGTGTGAAGAGCCCACCAAGCTGAGCCGCTTGAGTCATCGTAAAGGAAAGATCGCCGTGGGCATGGATGCTGACTTTGTTCTTTGGGATCCCGAAGAAGCAGTTGTGGTAAAGCCGAAATTTTTAAGTTTTCCTATTTTTGCATTATGTTAACGTCTCTGTAAGCCCGTAAAGGTGATGTTACACGGGACGATTCGCAACCACGATTTTTAGCGCAACACAGCGTTGTAATGTTGGAACAATGTTGTAACTACTGGAAACAATGTCGCAACAATGCTGCGCAAAAGGTCGTCGTTGCAAATCGTCTCGTGTAACATTTCTATTGTTCTCGTAGCGCAAGGCGTTAACGCTTCTGCCGAACGTACCGTGTTCGATATCCGCTATCGCCCCCCTTTTTTCCCCTTCAAATTTATAGATTCTTTTTTTTTCTCTTTTTTTAAGCCCAATAATTTAATATTAAAAAAGTACATTGATCATTTCGAAGATGATTTGATTACAAGCAATAAATTTGCAAGAATTTATTAAGTTACAGTTGAGATCCGCGTTCGATCGATACTCGACGACTTTTCAACCTTGCGTACACAGAGTGAAACAAACTTGTTACTGGGCTGTCTTTGGCAGGCCCAGTCATAATTTCGGTTTTCGATCGTCTACGTAGAAAAACGAACACCCGGGGGAGGGAAGACACGACGTCTGGGACCGAGAAACGATGTTCTCACAACTTGTTTGGAATTAAAAGAAGCTAAAAGAACTAGTACAACCCAGCTTTACTGAACGTTTTTTAGTTTAACCTCCGGTGGAGAGGTACTGGTTTTGATACCCGTCATCGCACATATTTTCTTCGACGAATTTAACACATACTTTTTTCTTTTTTATGGTTACTTGAGTAAAGAATATTCATAGCCAGTAAGCACATATCCTCTGAGGGGACCATTTTTCTCACCGCTAGGGGCTTAGCGGTGAGGATCGATAAGAGACGGCTGTATTCGCAGGTTACTCATCCCCTACCTGCTTGCACGTCTCAATTGATACACGCGTCCAGATCGCTTGACGCGCGCGTTCAGTTCGTGCAACACAGTCACCAGGTTCGCGTGTTCATCAAATTAAAAAACGAACAGATTTACGCTGGCTCATTTTTGTTTCTTTAGTTATATTTTCCATTGGTTGTATCTAAAGCTTTCATTTTCATTTCAGATTGACCAGAAAATAACTCGTCATAAAAACAAGGTATTTTATATCGATAGCCTGATTCTACTGTACTAAAATTCTTACTTGGTTGCGAGGCTTTGGGAATAAAACAACTAAAGCAAAAGAAATCATCTCGAGGCACAGCAATGAATAATACATTTATTTTGTTTCATTTCCCCAAGCCTCGGAGTTAAGTATGGATTTTAATATATCGATATTGGACTATTACCCAGCGATTTATAGTTTAATGAAATATTTCGTTTAACCGGCACTTTAGAATAGAAACGAGCGAAAAATAACCAAACGTTTCGATGATGTCATCATCAAGCCGAAATCAGGGAGCAAAAATGGTAGCAATTTTCTGTATCTAGTATATAAGTACCAATCTTTGTTTAATATTGAAGTTATTGTATTCACTGTATAGTCTGCTTACTTATGTTTGGGCCTGTCCATTTAGTTTTAAGGGTACAAAAACTCTGCAGCGAGATGTTAATTTTAGGTTCGAGATACCATAAATGTAGTCCACGTATTCCTTCAAGCCAAGATCAGCTTATCCCGCACTCGCTCCTTTTTCACTAAAATCCCGCATCCCGCTATTATTTTTATCGCTTTCCCGAATTCCTCTCTTGTTTCCAAATACCTCAATAAAAAAGAAAAAAAAACTAATAAGCACGCGTTTTATCTCGTTGTTCCGAAACATTTTTTATTCCGCTTATATAACCCCCGGATATAAGCCCCCCATTTATAAGCCCACCCAAAACCCCTTACAGCGCCGTAGCTAGTATGAGGCCAACCGAGGCACTCGCCTCGGTAAAATTTTGACGAATTTCGCCGATCATTTTTATTTTACATAAGCGATCATCGGATATTTTTAACGCATCATGATATTATAAAGAATTCAGCAATTCAGTCAATATACTATGAAAAAATTACCATATCATCGATCTCAAGGGGCTACGTACGTTAACTCAAATTTTTTTTGAACAAATACTGATCAAAACCATTGGCGAGGTTAACGGTCACCCAGATTATGTAGCTTGTTTCTGATTATTGCTTTTTAAATTCCACTTAAATTAACTCGAAAAAAAGTTACCGAAAGGCCCAGAAAACGCTGCAAATCGCATTTCCGAGAGACTAAAGTTCAAAATTTCTCGGGGGGGGGGGGGCATGCCCCCGAACCCCCCTAGCAACTCCCGCCTGCCTCGGTTGGCCGTTTGGTCTGGCTACGGCACTGCCTTATGATGTTATATAAGCCCAGGGCTTTAAAGTGGGACTTTACGGTATTGCGTTTTCCTGAATCCCGCACCGTATTTTGGTCAAATCCCGGATCCCGACAATACCCTTCCAGACCCTAGGGATCAGAGCTCCAAACTGATCCGGAGAGGGGGGGAGGCTACTTGGGTTAATTCTTGCTGGGTATGTGTCGCTGCCCTCTCAGGGCGCCTACCCTTTTATAGTCTATTCTGTGGCCAAATATAGACCTCATCTTATTCACTTTTGGGAAAATGTAATTTTCGCGATCCAAACTTAGTAACTTTCTGTTTATGCATCTATGTAATGAATTGACTCATGGGTAAACTTAATAAAGTAAAATCTTCCCCTTTTTAAATCCCATCTAATCCCTCCCTATCCCTACCCTGAATTTTCTGATCCCCCAAATCCCGAAAATGTGCGATCCGGTTCATTATAGTCAATCCAGCCGTGAAAATGTGACCCCATCCAGCGGCACATCCCTAATAGCCTATTACTAGGAAGTACCCATCTCCGTGGGAAACTGATGGACCAGTTGACTTGAAAAATGGTTTATCAAGTGGTTAACATTTTATTTCCCGTCTTGTTTTTCAGGTAACTCCATACCACAACATGAAATTACGCGGAGTCGTCCACAAGACCATGCTACGAGGAAACGTAGTTTATGAACGGGACAGAGTCTGCGATCATCCCGCGGGACAACTGCTTCTTGAAGCGGAACATGGAAGTGCAACGTCGAAAATTTAGATGACAGTGAATGAGTTTTGATAACGTTTGAGAGTGAATTCGAATGTGGTTGGGTTACTTTCTGTAGTGACTATGAGTCTGTCTTCTTGTTTTCGTGATTTTTTCGAGATATGGTCATAATTTGTCTAGCAAACTGGTACTTGGTACTCGTTGTAAAATGTTACTTCTTCTTACGCAACGCTCTCTCTCTTCTAAAGGGTCTATTTATTCCTCTGGCCATAGTTGATCAAAGAGTGGTCGAACCTCTACTTAATAACTTATGAAGAATTTGAATAATTCTCTTATATCGTATAAAATACAGTCATTTTTAACTTTGTGTACGCACTACAAACATTTTTCCTCGGGAAAGGTGAGAAATATGGATAAGGTGAATCGTTTGGTAAAAGTTTTACTTGACTTCAAGGAAGGCAATGAATAAGTCAATAAAAAGAGATATTCTTTTAGATTCCGTTTAGTGATTGTATTCTCTCTACCAACGAAGCCATCAACACGATCCAATAACTCTCGAAGCCAAGTGTTAAAGCTCATATTACGAGAGAGTCGCTGAACCAGGCCTACAGTTGTGCTGTACAGTGTGTATGAGTTCACCCCCCTAAGGAGATGCGATTTCACCGACCGAAAAAAATTATTTTTGGAGACCCCCCCCCCCCCACTATCTAAGGGTA